ATTTCAGAACAGAAAATGACACAAAAACTACCTTTCGTTTTCGACCAAATTTCACTACAGCAAGATCATCCCCAGCAGTATTAACTGTTGACAAATCGATTTTTGAATTCAAAAACTTTTCTATCACCTACAAATCTTGTGCAAATTAAAATACTTATCAGAAATTATGACAAAGTTAGGAAGTTAGGGACAGAATTAATGAAGCCAATTAACGGCAGTTACGTTATTCTTTCACTTTTGTATCGTAAAACAAAACCAACATCAAGAGGATCATTGGTAATATTCTGCGCAATGACTGAAGTAGGTTTGATTATTCCAAGTCGTACAGGAGCAATCAAAGAATCAGCCATATTGCACAACTCATTTATCGAATAATTCAGCAGAGTTTGAAATATGCGGCGACATTTCAATACAAAATTCGTCACGCTAAAATCAGAGATCTATTCTCCGCTACAGCATATATTACACACCGCATTCTACAAAATGCCAAAAATTTCCCCTAAACATACAGTCAAATCAGCGATTAAAAGATAGGACCTACTTTTTCTTCTTAGCTTCCTTAGCTGCGGAATTTTCACGCCCACTTGTTGATCTCACGAGTGATAACAAACCGGTGAAACTAACAGTATGCAAGCCAGGACCAAAGATTCGTCTGAAAGATGCAAAATCTTTCCAACAATTCAATTTGAATAACAAATAAGACCTCAAATAATGATCAAATTCATAATAACAAACCTTGGTGGGGTGTTTCCAGATGCCATTGCTTGTGAAATGCCGCTTGTTGTAGCTGTAGCAACTGTGATGGCTGCCGGTGACAATAATGTTAAAAGCATGAACATCCTCAAAATGTTGAAAGTGAAAAACATGAAACTCTAAACATTCACTAAATGGCAGTATTCATGTATTCATGATCAAGTGGCTATCACAAACCTGATAACTGCGCGTACAAAACGTGAAATTATAGAATCGATATCAGGATCTCTTTTCATCTCTTCGTTGTTCTTATTTGCTTCTGCTATCAATGTATTCAGTAAGGTATCAATATGCTAAAACAGTAGTTGAGATAAAAACACATATTCCTCCTAAACTAGGTATTTTGAAATTATCTTCAACATGCAACAAATATCTTCACCACTGCTAAAATTTAGAGAACCTTTCCGATTCACTCCTACTACTCCTTAAATTCTTTTCAGTTTGAACTTACAGTTTCCGAGCATTTCGCCAATAAGATGAAAGCAAATTTGTCAAGATGTGAACATCCATGTTGTTGATTTAAATGAAACACTTCTTCCATTACCAGCGCATCGCTAAAAATATTTCAGTTACAACTAGCAAAAATTTTAAGAAATTTGCGAATAGCCTTCGATTCACGTGAAAACTTTCACTCACTTTTGCATGCCTTTAACACCCAACATTATCAGGCTTTTAACCGCACGCCAATCAGCTAGAAGTTTTGCGAAAGCAGTACGTGCAAATTTCGGTGGTTCCAAATCGTGCTCTGGAGTGGTATCTGAAAATGTCATCACATTCAGAAATAACCTAACTACTTCATAGAATTAATAAATATAAATTTGAAATGCGAACAAATAAATTAGAAGTTCAATTGGGATAAACACAACTAACCATTTGCCCCCTGAGATTTCTTCATCATTCGACGTTGATAATGTTCCTGTTCAATGATTTGTCTGCCCACAGTTCGAGCCAAAAACAACAATAAATGTTCCCCCCTATAGCACAAAACACAATCGACATAATAGGCATAATGAAAAAAATTCATTTATAGTTAATATCATAGAATTCCAAAATTATTTTTTCGCTTTGAACAAACATAAAGATGTTGCTTCCATTTTAAGGAATTAGTTACTACCTATCCCAGATCCTCATCGGGTTTTAACTAAGGAATGAAAATGAAATTACTGTTTGAATTTATAGACAACTGCTTTAAGTATCACTCACAAACCACAGCAATCTGAAGAAACAACAGAAATATAGAAAACATACCTAGAATTTGTACGATGAATTAGATCGGTGTTATTGAGCAACACGGATATCAATTTTTCCCGACGTGGTGTATTACCTGCAACAAGGGCTCGGCAGGAACATTTTTCCCAGCAATCACAGTAAGCCGTTGGAGATGTCCTTTTCAATCTGCAGTTTTTTAATAATAAAATCCAAAGTAAAGAATACAGACATACGACAGTAAAAATCAAGAAATAACCTGCACTCATGATTGCGATGGCAAGTATATGCACATTCCGTGCAACAACACAAGGTACCAACTAATCCACATGTTCGACATTCGAATATATCCTAAAGTTCGTTTGTATCTTAGAATAGAGAATCAGTCAAACTCATTCCCGAATACTACTATAAATTCAGCTTAGAATCGAACCGTTATCATAATTAATGACATAAAGAGTTTAAGAAGTGATAGAGTATCAATGAATAAAACAAAATAAATCGAACTACTTTTTGACTAATAAAATCTCCATCCAAACCTGATTGATATGCTCATCACCGGTCCACGTAAAGCTACAAGTATCATTCATACAAAGCATGAATAAAGGCGAATCATCTGGTCTACTTCCTAATGGATATATGATGGAATTTAAAATCCCATCAGCTGACTGTTTTTTGCCTTGAACACCTGCAAAACTAGTTTAATTTGAAAATTATAGTTCCATTAACGAGGTGAGCATGCATAAGTATGCAGTTATAATCTACCAATAATCAATTCGAAAAAAAAAAATACTGACCAGCGATCAGCGCTTCTTTCTGCAACTCTTCAGCAGCCAGCCAGAGAATGAAAGCGGCTGTATACGCTCTGTAGTTAACAGCGCACATGAAAGGCGTATGTCCATTAATATCTCTGAAATTAAAAATAAGAAAATATGCTCAACATCGGACACTAAAGGACACAATAAGTATGCATAATTCAGATGAAATTTGGTGCTGGAACATGTAATACAAGAGTATATGTTTGCAGTTACCTATCAGTTTTCTTACATTTCTTCGACTTAATCAGTCATGAAATGTTTTCCCGCATAGCGCAGTAGGTAATGGTGAATGTCTTGCAGACAGTTACTCGAATCGCCTATTTTTTTTCCATAAGCCATTTAATCATTTATTCCAATCGACCAAATACTAACACTGTTATTTAAACTAATTTCTTATCATTCTTAAACCAAATTCATACGGTAGTTTAGAGCCAAGAAATAACCTCACATATTAAGCTTGCCTTTACAATCATCCTGATATGCCTTCTTTTTAATGGTTTTGATAAAAAAAGAGAATAACAGCAAAATTACTTCGTTGTCAGCAATTCGAGGAGATATGGTGCAACGGTAGAGTTATAACAGAGAGTCTTGACAATTTCTATCGAGTTGCACTGGCGTACTTTTGGTTCGTTGTTCGCATTAACAATAATCGGCATCGATGCTGAACAAAATTTCCCTCGCATAATATCACCCAAAATTTATTGATTCATCAGGCATAAACTATTTTGAAAAAAAAAACACCAAAAGGCACAGATTTTAGTGGAAACCTAAGGGTAAAAAATCGATTAAAGCTGAAACATTATTTTTACAATATTAATTATATATAGAAGAACCTTCTTCTTTCATGTCTTCTATGAAAACAGATGATTTCTTCGCATCTTTTAGGCTTCTCGCAAAATCTGCTAGCACTAAAAAATGAATATGACTTTCACGTTGTAGTAAATGAAACATTAAGTGAACATAAGTTCATATATACGATTCAGTGCTTTGAAAGATACTTCAAAAGAAAGTAAATACAGCAAAAATTTTTTATTGATCACGAAAAATCTCACCATCTTCCATGTTGCCAACATCATGACCTGGTCTCCGCAATGGATTATTTGCCATTAATTCTCGTATTAGCATTTCTTCTCTGAAATATTATGGATTCTTGACTCCATTATTTTAGAAGCCAAAGAAATAACTTCAGGAATTTCGAACACATCACAAAATTTAAGGAAAAAGAAATATGAAAACAAACTCGGCATTAGCTCCATGACGTCTCAACATACGTTGCCAACGGCTATCAAAAGCAGTACGAGTTTCTTCAGCGGCTGACATATCCGCAGCTGCAATCAAAAATTTCAAACACAAAAGTATAAATATACAGTTCCTCCCTCAATGTTTAATTTTTCCACATGACAATAACAAAAATACTACACTTCGCCATATAGCTATCCGACCTAGGAAAAGTCTTGGCTCCTTCACATGAAGGCCTCGTCTAACAGTAAACATAATATCACCTACCTGTTAAACGCTGCAAAGGTTTATTTTCTGTATCAACTGAAATTTCCATTGTGTCCGCCTCTTCTTTATTAGTTGTTGCGAAACTGTTCATGACTGCAGCATGAAGAATAGTTCGATTCCCATCCGCACGAGAGCTCAAAACCTCGGCTTTCACAATCTCTCGATCTAGAAATGATTTATAAGTCAGCATCTTTGAAATGGTAATTGTCTTGTTTGGGACTAGTAGTCAATGGAGCTCTCCGGCAAAAACAAAAGCTGCATTATCAAAACATGTTCAATCACAAAAGTTCGATGACTGCAGTATGGAATACCATTACCTTTTATTTTGCTGACTGCAAAAGCAACTGTAAATAGCAAACAATAACGTAAAACTGATGATCAAATAAAACTTCTGAAAATTTATATACGAAAAAGAAAGTCCAAAAAAAAGAAAGTCTACCTGATTCTTTCGAGAGTGCATCAAGCACCAAATCCACACCTTGCAGGTCGCAATATAGAACAGTCTGTAGCAGAGATGGTATTCTTGGACGAGTGCTTGAAGGAGATGGAGCAATTAAAGTTACCATAACTCCAGTACGATTTGCATTCCGTGATGTAGATGATGCTGGAAAAACTGCTATTACCGACTCTTACTCCATGTTCACAGAGGAGATCAGAAAGTGAACGGATGAAAAACGGCAAAAAATCCATTTAATGAACTTCGGAATTATGCAGCAAATCCTATATAACTTTAATAGAACCGTACGTACAATCATCATTGGCAGTTGCTGCAGTATTTTCATTATCTCCAGAATCCAATGGCCTCAAACCAACTGCAAAATTATGTATTTTTGGCAAAGCACAGTAAACTGGCTCACGGAATCCTCCCGCTGCATCACGTACCATAGGTATTATCGAACCGTTACTGTCGCTTATCATCATAATCATTTCCTAAATCTCGCCCAATGAAAAAATCACGAGGTTATAAAAAGTTGTGAAAGAAAAATCGACTAATACTTTGCAAGTAATCAAAGTAAAGAGAAAAAAATTACAAAAAAATTTGCCAGATCGTACGATTTTTGATCAAAAGAACAAATTTGAAAATACCAAATGGGGAATTTCGAAAACCGTCGAAAAAACTCAATTAACATACATCTCCATAATTCTCAAGTCGCGGCAGATGCAATCCGGCGTTGCACACTGCTGAAACATTCACCGGCAATACGTGATCACTTTGTATTTTACCAAATACACTAGCACGAACCAAATGAAGCCGTCCTCGTTTTTCGATCAACAACCGTAAACCTGAGTGGACTTACAAATTAATGAGATAGAAAGCGAGATTATACGAACGCCACGGCACTAATGATAACTCAGCCGAAACTTCATTTCTTTTAATTCCCACATTCAAAAATCATTGAAAATCTTCAATACATTTAAGTCATTTGCTTTACTAATGATTTCATAGAATCGTTGAGATCATCTCAATTTTACGTTACTACACAATTTATTGTCTACAAGGGAAGTGCGAAACATTGTAAGTAACAAAAAATTATGAAAACAGCAAACCGGTATTGTCTATGGTCAAAGAGTGCACTTTCTTCATCGATAAACCACCCGGCAATTGTATTTTTTGCATGTGTCTCTGGAAATTCTCAGGACAGCGAGGTATTCTACTGTTTGGCGTTACAACAACAAGATCGTCCTTGCGCATCAGCCGAATTTTCCCTAAATCATATGCATCTTGATTTTGGCTGACTGCGTCACCACTATCATTAGAGACGACCGGTTTATATACAATTCCGCAGTAAGCTCCATCAACCTAAAAAAAAGTTTTGCACAATTAAGTTCAGGATTCAAAAAGATGATTAAGTTTTCGCTTTACAATAATATAATGGGGCAGATAAAAGATCCAACAGAAATTATCACAAAATTTGAAAAAAATATAAACATACAATTTTAACAACGGCTGTGTCCTGTGAGTTTTCTTTATGGATGAATATTACTTCATTGAGGGCCCATGCAGTTTCCCGGTAGGTATTTCCTTTCTGCTCCTCACGTGGTCTTTTACCGTATTCTGAAAACATGGACTTTTCGTTTCAAAAAAATGAGTTTAATATTTCAAGATTTCATAACGAATACGTAAAATATTACCCAGTAGACATTACACAGAAACTGAAAGATGATGTCGAAATGAAACCAGTCATTCCGAAATGAAAAATACATAATTCCCCAAAGTAATGGAAAGTGAAGCGAGAAAAAGTGTAAGCGTAAATTGCACCATACAACCTTAGAGTTAAACTGAAGAAAAGCAATAATTTTTGTTTTTTAAAGAAAAAGGCTACTACTACATGGCAAATTAGAATGCAGCTAAGAAGCATGAAGAGAGTCAACTAGGAATATAACATAAACATCCCACAAAGCCAATTTAAACACCCATAGAAACTGTCGCTTCACTTTGGTGTTACAGCTGGATGCGCTGATTTAATTCTTCAATATGTTTTCAATATTTTTTCCTATCTTACAGAGCATTAAAAAATACAGGAAATTAAATTCATATAGGATGTATAATATTGTAAAATGTAAGAAATTAAATTTGATTAAAGCATATATAATATATGTAATGCACTGAATTCTAAAATGGGAAAATAAAGAGGGAATAAATCCAATGTAATTTCGATATTTTGTC